GGCCGGAGCCCAGCAGGTCGAGGCTGCAGTGGCCGGGAGCTGCCACTGCACTCCAGTCTGGGCGACAGTGAGACTCCAACTCAAAAAAAAAAAAAAAAGAAGTCAGGAACCAGAGAAAAACCAAAATGTCTTTGGAAATTTCAAAACTGCTCATTACCCAGCATTTGAAACTGCAACTCTTATTTGTGATTCACCATAACTGAGCACAATGGACATGTTCCCATCTCCATATCTTTACTCTCCAATATCTTCCAGGAAAGAAGTTATCAAAAATCTGTTGAACATACTGATCTTAACGAACAAACAACTTAAACACAGCTAGATATCATTTCACCTAAATTTTAAGTAAAGTCAGAAGCTGACAAACTACTCTGAAATAAGTTTTATGCGTTCAGATTGCAAGTGATTTTAACATTCAAGAAAGAAAATACATTTTGTTATACAAAATAGTCCCTGGTAATATCAACACAGATTATCATGTGCCTCTTCTGAAATGAATTGATACGTAATATATTTAGGCACATATCTCTGTGACATAATGCACAGAAATTAATTTAAAGTTTAATATATGTATATTTAGCAACTGGTTATATCATAATGTTACATAAAAATTAATAACAAAATTACCATCTGGTCTTAAAGCAAATGTAAAACTGTATAAAAAGTAAGATTATCTATCCCAGGTAATGAAAGGCAAGGTAATGAATAAATAAGATGTGAGTGTATGTGTGTAGTTCAGAATATAAACAATACACATAATAATCTCCCACTGGGAAAGTATTTTTTTTTTAATTTAGAAATTTATTTGAAAATTCTAAGTATGTAACTACTGAACTCACTATTATGGTTTTAATTAAGTCTTGGCCAAGCACACATCTTTTGTACAAGTCTAAAATGTAGAAACAAAAGTAGATTTGTTTCTGTTACACATGGGTGTAAGAAACACTGAAAATCAAGAAACCAAGTAAAGCAGTCTTCAGCACTACTCCCAATAGCAGAAATATGGAACCAACCGTGCTGCCCATCAAAACTGAACTGGATTTTTAAAATGTGGTACATATACAAAATGGAATATTACGCAGCCATAAAGCAGGACAAAATGATGGACTTTGCAGCAACTTGGATGGATTTAGAGTCTATAACACTCAGTGATCTATCACAGAAACAAACAACTGAGTACCATATTTTCTCACTCATAGCAGACCCTAAATATTTATCATAATAGTGTAAGAAGCCGGGTTCGGTGGCTCAGCCTGTAATCCTGCGCTTTGGGAGGCTGAGGTGAGTGGACTGCCTGAGCCCGCAGGTTCAAGACCCGCCTGGGCAACTTGGCCAGACCTCATCCCTACAATAAAATCAAAAAATCAGCCAGGCATGGTAGCGCATGTCTGTAATTCTGGCTACTCGGAAGGCAGAGGCAGAAGGATCGCCGGAGCCCAGTGGGTCGAGGCTGCAGTGGTCAGAAGCGACCACTGCACTCCAGTCTGGGCGACAGAGTGAGACTCCAACTCAAAAAAATATATATCTACAGTATAAGAAAGGGATTGGCAATCGCAGGATACCACCAGGGGAGAGAGAGGGGAGTACATGATATCAGTAAGGGTGCCTGATCTCAAAACAGGCAAAGTGAGGACCAAAGGGAGGCCCAAACTTTGCCTGTCTGATAACGACTTGTATACCTAATCCTAAAGTGAACTCCACATCTTTAGGATAAAAATTAAAAATCACAAATAAAGCAGTCTTCTCATTGCTCACCATGATTTGCTGATTGCATGCTCCATTTTCTTATCTCCTACCTCCCTATACCTATTGCCATAAGCCTCAAATGAAAACTAAAACGCAGCTACTTCTGAAGATGCCTTTACACAGTCTCCTAAGAGCTAGTCTGAGAAAGGAGACGGGGGAGGCTAGGAGTAAAAAGCAGCCATTAAAAGATTTAGCACCTCACCTTTACAGCTAGGAAGTTCAGTCCACTCTCATGGGCCAAGGCCTTTGCTATCATTGTTTTAGAGCATCCAGGTGGACCATACAGAAGGACTCCTTTAGGTGGCCGAATACCCATTCGGATAAAAGCCTCTGGATGCTTCAAAGGCCATTCCACAGCCTGTTTCAACTTCTGCTTGACATTTTCAAGTCCTCCTATATCTGACCAGGATACCTGCAAAACAGAATGTTTTCTAAGTGTAAGTGTTGCCAGAACAGAGAACTAAAAATAATAAATAAAACATATCATCAACCAAAGAAGTGCAAATGGGAAGAGAAACACGGAAGAATGAGAAACAGCCTTGAAAAAATTCCTAGAACATTAAGAACTGGAAGTAAACGTGAGCTGTATATTATAAAAATACTATATGTGTGTGGGTATGTGTGTGTGTGTGCGCGCGCATGCACGCGCGTATTTATGCTTGCGAGTCTTGTGTAAATAACTAAAAGATTGAACACATAGTTAAGTCTATCCTTCCAGACAGCTTTAAAAGTTAGGTTTCATCTGTCTGAAAATGGTCTCATCCATATACCTTAACTACTTTTTTTTTTAACAAAATTACTTCAAAGCATATTTTTGTAGATCCTTATGGAACATAAGATCTTTTTTATCTTTGGCATATAAAGAAAGTATCCTCAAAATTTTGTTCCATTACTAAACTAAGAAGTACACCCAAAATAAGATAGCACCTTACATATTATTTACTTATAAATAAATACGTCTTAAGAATACACTGTGCGAGATGTGTACAGGAAACAGAAGAATGAGACAGGAATCCACACTCTAAAGAAACTTTACAATTAGTAACAACTAGCAACATGAACATAAATACAGTACAATGAAAAGGACACTAAGTACAATAACAAACATAAAAAGCCTTTGGGAATTCCCAGGAAGAAAAGATTACTTCCAGCTGGAAGGCAAATCTGAAAGCCAACTCTTAAAGGATGGATGAGATTTGGAAATGTAAAAACAAGGGAAATGGTCAGGTAGAGGCCAAAAAGTGGCAAAGACTCAGAAGGGAAAAAATACAAAGAGGATGGGAGAAAGAAGATTTGAGGAAGAGAAATAAAGAATAGTTGAAGCCGTAGGACCTTGAAGACTAGATGAAGGAGTTCAAGATAAATTTTTGTACATACTAAGGAGTCTTTGAAGGTTTTTAATCTAGAAAGGTATATGGTCTGATGCTTCTGGAAGACTTCTCTGAGAAGACTTAGTAGAGAAGAGACAGTGTGCAGGGAAACCAACTCGGGACACAAATTTTTTTTAAAGGCTAGACCTAGGGTAGCAAGGTGACCTGATGATGAAAACAAGCCAGAACAACACTACAGAGATACACAAAGAGAGAAAATATAAAGCTGGATTTCATGATAGATTCAAAACATATGGTCCACATACGAATATCTTCAAGAGGAAAAATAAATGACAGATTTATTTTTAATATACAGAGCTAAACATGGGACAGAATATTCAAAAGATCAAAAGTGGGCAGTTGGCATGTAAGTGGTGCAAATGAAGCCCTGAAATGAGGATAAAACTGAAATTTCTGCTTCAGAGACAGCCTCATGCATATAGTAAAAGCCATGAGATCAATTAAAATTGCCAACCAAGAAAAGATATGTGGGCCAAAGGCAGAGCACTGGGCATCACCAACATTCAAGAGGCAGGAGAAGAAGAAACAGGAAGAGAAGTCATAAAACAGGCAATTCATAAATCCAAAGGAGAAGCAAGGATTTTGTTTGTTCAATTAGAAAAAGATTGCTTTTTCCAAATGAACTTATATGGTTTTGTGGGAAGATTTTATTGTTTTTGTTTTCTGCTCACAAATCCAGGGGAATGCTATGCTATCAACCATAATCCTGAGATCTGATTTAATTATTTTCCTAAATTGCTTTCTTGAAATTTAAGATTATTGGATTAAAAGACATGAACATGGGCAACCCCTTTGGGTTCCCTCCCACTGTGGGAGCTTTTCTGTCCTCTCAATAAATCCTGCTTTCTTAAAAAAAGAAGACATGAACGTTTTTAGGCCTCTTGGTTCCTAATGCCAATTTATCCCAACCATTTAATGTATTCTAAGGGTACCAGCAGGAAGTGGCGATGTCTTCCTGCAGCATTTCAGCCCTTGATTTTTTTTTGCCTTCTTTTTCTTTTTAGGTTTCTTCTGATTTCGGATTTCGCCATTTAAAAAAACTAAATTTAACTCAAGATCAGTGTACATGGTCTTTGGGTCCTAAAAATACCTAGCGGTCAACGGCAGAATCAAATTTCCCGTTGACCACAGAAGACAACTGTTGCTGCTGTGACTGGGCTTATTTCAGGCAAAAGTGCAGCGGACCCTGCTGGGTGGTGCCTGTTTGTACTCTCCGGTGTCTCTGATCCATTCTTCTTCTTTAATTTTTCACTTTGCTTTGAAAGTTTCAAACATATGCAAAAGTTGAAAGTTCAGTACAATAAATGCCTATATACTCTGCCAAAATATAGTAATTCTTACTCTTTGCCACACTTGTAATAGTGCGTGCTCTCTCTATATATATACAAGCACACATGTATACACACAGTGCGCACACACACACTTGAATGTTTGAATTTTCTGTTGGATCTTTTAAAAGCAAGCTGCAGATATTATGTTCTTCTCTCCAAATACTTTAACATACCTCTCATAAAAATAAACATTCGGAGAAGCTAATTTAAAGGAGGGTAGTTGAAAACTGAGCAGAGACCAAAAAGTATAGAGAGCTGAGAAGAAATGGTCAGTACAGGAACTAGGACTTTGCAGCAACTGGGATGGATTTAGACTCTACAACACTCAGTGATCTATCACAGAAACAAACAACTGAGTACCAAATTTTCTCACTCAGAGGTGGACCCTATATATTTGCCACACACTCGAAGAAAGGGATTGGCAGTAGCAGGACACTGTCAGGGAGGGAAAGGTTATTGAATAATAACAAGGTGACTGAATAGCACAGTTTAATCAGAGCAGTAGCTTACGTTTTATGCCTTAAACAGTGGAATAGCCGGGCTTGGTGGCTCAGCCTGTAACCCCAGAGCTTTGGGAGGCTGAGGTGAGTGGAATGCCTGAGCCCACGGGTTCGAGACCCGCTCGGGCAACTTGGCGAGATCTCATCTCTACAATAAATAAAAAATTAGCCAGGTGTGGTAGTGCCCACCTGTAGTTCCAGCTATTTGGAAGGCTGAGGCGGAAGGATTGCCGGAGCCCAGCAGGTTGAGGCTGCAGTGGCTAGTAGCATGCCACTGCACTCCAGTCTGGGCAAAGGAGTGAGATGCCAACTCAAAAAAAAAAACAGTGGAATATGCACACATATGCATATACATAAACAACAAGCATACACATAAACACACTGATAGACACCATGTACATACTACATAAAAGTGACAGATAAAAGCAGTGTTTACAGTAACTGTCACACGACGAATCAGAGACTTCTTAGACTTTCAAAACTGAAATGATAATGTGTCACTGTTATGCTCCTACTTGACAGTCATTCACCTTTTACTATGCAACTACTGTACAGTGAGAACACACTCTGAACATGCTGTGAGGAGCAGCCATCTCCGTGCCTTCCAGCACGGAAGTTGGACAATTAAGCACGGTAGCAACGAAGCATACTACTCACTACACTAATGCAGGTAAGAATACACTGACAGATCTAATTTTCTTAAAGGTCAGGACAGAACTACATCCTTCCTAATCAATGACTTTTTAAATAATGCAATTACATGCCCATAAATGGCTAGGAGAATTTTCTTCCTCAGGTCTGCACAAAACAAAGCAATCCTGGCAGTCCAACCTGACAACCTCCAATGTGATAAAATTTGGTAAATTCAATACATTTCAGGGTGGTTTTTAATCAGCCTTTTAAAAAGTCTTTAACAAGCAACTGAAACCAGATCGTGAATGCTTGAAACACCTCCATGAAACATACATTTTGAAAATCACCAAAATAATGGATAAGAAACTCTACATGATTAAGAGATTATATGTCGGGAAACCCCCTCGGGTCCCTTCCCCTGTCTTCTCAATAAATCCTACTTTCTCACCTAAAAGAGAGAGAGCAATTCCATGTCTCTTTAGTTAGGCATCAGTAAGCAGTGGCAAAAGAGCTGGAGAGGACTTATTGCTCAAGAGAAATTAAGATGCTCTCCCCAGAAAACTGAGTGTTCGATGACACAGAACAGTTCAACAAAAGCAATGCCCTCGCCGTCTGCACTAAGGAGCGGGCCCACAGCCCTCAAGGCGGTAGGGTCCATGGGACAGGGAAACAACCCGACCCTTCCTCCCTCCTGGCATGCGGGGCTGATTCATCAGCAGTCTCGTCTGTACTTCTGCCTTCACTACGTACGTCTCTACTCCTGCCTCAGCCTGCCAGGATTCCCTCCTTCTTCCTATCCTTCGAAGCAGCCTGACTTCCATACCTTTCCCACCTAGAGCTGTATCCTGTCTCCTCCTCCCCCAAGACAGGCCCCCCATTCCTGCTGCCTGGGCCGTTCCACTGGACATTCTGGTGGGAAGGGTGCTTCGCCAGCAGGATCGCCCCAAGCAGTGGCAGCAAAGGTCACAAGGGGAGAGTTGGCCAGAAAGCACGATCCGAGGAAGCCATTATGTCAGAAGGTCTCTAGCCTCCTCGCAGTGAAAAATAAAACAAGGTCGCCTACAGAAAGAAATGTCAGCCAGTCTGACAAATACTGAGTAAATGCCCATTTCATGCTGTGCAGGTTCCTGAGATAAAACACTTCCAGCCCACACTGAGCTTCTGACCTGCTGGAATATTTTCACAAACAGGCAGCCACCATACAGCATGGCACATGCTAAAAGGCAATCCCAGAATTTACACAGCCAGGAAAAGCGTTCCAGGAAGTACCAGACGAGGTGGGGCCTGATGGACATACAGGAATCATCTGGATGCAGTGACAGAAAATGCCACCAAGAGGAGGAAGCAGGGTAAGCATGTGTCTTAGGAAAACGTAAAAGCAATTCAGAATGGCTACAACTCAGAGAGCAGGAGGAGAGCAGAAGCAAGGAGGCTACAACAGCTAGGGCTTGGAGACTGTGCGGCTTAGCTCAGACTCTAGCCTGAGAGCACTAGACAGAACCACTCGACCTGAGGACCATGTGACCACATCTGTGCTTCCGGCAGAGTGGCACTAGG